CCCCCCCAGCCGGCTCCGCGCCCCCAGCCGCCTTCTGCCCTCCCCGGGCCGCAGAGCCGCCCCTTCCCCACATTACGGTGACACATTACCCATGCTAATTTATTCACACATAGGCACGCCCGCCACCGCCTTTACGGCAAGGATGCGATTTTGCGACAGCGGCGCGGTTTGCGGCGGCTGCTGAGGGAGACGGTAGGCCTTTGCTCTGAGGGCGTTCCGGGGCGCTCTCCTCGCAGAGGGCTGCTGCCTGCGGCCAGCACAGGGAATTGTGTTTAAAGGTGTGTGGGGGGGATGTGTTTAAAGGGGTTTTAGAGCGGGGGAGGTCGCACCGCAGGGCGGGAAGTGGCCCTGCGGCGTGGGTCGGGCCATGGAGCTCAGCGGCCTAGTGCGAGCCCTGAGGCTGGAGGAGCCGCCCCCCGCCGTCCCGCCAGCCCAGCAAGTCCTCCTCCAGATCGGGCTGCTCTTCTCCGAGGGGACGGGCGGTGCCCCCAAGGCCGGCGTGGTCAGAGACCTGGGTGCGCTGGTCGAGGCTGCAGACTGCCGGTGGCTTTTTGGAGGCCTGAGCCCTGCGACGCTGGGGGAGTTGGTGGCTGCGCTGAATGGCTACGCAGCACCCCCAGCGCAGGAGCAAGACGCTGCAGATGTCCCCAGTAAGGACAGCGCGTACGCTGCCGCAGCTGAGAGAGCGGCAGATGTTGGCTCCGTGTTTCTACACCTCCTTGCGAAGCTGGAAGCTGCCAAGACCCAGGAGTCTCTGGGCGTCCCCGTGGTGCGTCCAATCCTATGTCGTGTGATGGGACCCATCTACATCTTTGCCGCAACACATATTGCGGAGAGGCCCTGGACAAATGCGCGATCTCAGTTGGTGGCACAGGAGCTGCTGGCGCTGCTGGTTCAGGCCGCAGGCTGCGGGTCGGTGGCTGAATTCCTTCGAGGAAAGAATGAAGATGAGGAAGGAAGATTTGCAGCAGTGATGGGGCTCCTGAAACCGGAGTTAACCAAGTGAGTAGGAAGGGGAGGGCAGTGATGGAGAGGGTGGTGTGTTTGGCTGGTCTCGTGGGAAGCACTGGAAACCTTTGGGAAACGGTGTGAGCTCAGGTGTTAGAAGACACTCAACAATAAATATGGCGCCAAGAGCTTTACAAATACTCTGGTAATGGAAGCAGGAGGGGAATCAATCACAGCTTATTGTCAGCTGAGAGGCCCAGATGCGTACAAAATGAGCATTCGTTAGTTCCAGTGTTCACTGAGCTTACGTTTGTATTTCCAGAGACACTTGGAAACGTAACCCTGCCACAAAGTTCGTGTTTTCCTGGACACTGCCTCATGTCACCCGGCCCTGGCTTAGCCATTACCTGGAGCGTGTCCTCCCGCCGTCGCTGCTCATCTCGGATGACTACCGGGAGGAGAATAAAATCCTGGGTGTGCGCTGCCTGCATCATATCGTTCTCAACGTGGTAAGGGATTTGAGAAATTAGATCCCTTTCTGGGTGCTGTTTGAAGGAAGGGTGGGTTGGACACCTGTTAGGATTCCTAACTTGTAATCCTGGTTCTGCTGTTAACCTAGCAATTCTGCTCCGTGCTCCATACTGTCCCTGTGTGTTTAAATATGTGTAGTTCTTATATCTATTACAGTAAGCAAAGAATCACTTTCCCACCTTTTGAACTCGGCTGATTTGCGTATCGGCCTGACAACAGTTTGCAGAGCAGGGTATTAAAGTAATGCCAGTGGAACTGCAAAACAGCAGCTGGGGAGGAAAGGAAAGTGGCTGCTCCTGTGCATGGCGGAGTTTAACCTGCATTTATTACAGCACCTGCTCCCGCTTTCTTGTAAGCAGTGTTCCTAACGCGCAGTATGTGCGAGGGTTGTTTTTATAAGACCTGGGTTTGTGAAGGCCGTTCTCTTTGATTAGGTTAAGCAGGTGCTGAATGTGATGCACAGGAATAACGTTCTCTTCTCTGTTGTTGCAGCCAGCTGCTGATCTGTGCCAGTTCAACAGAGCTCAGGTGGTGCACCACGCCCTTTACAACCACCTCTATTCACGAGAGGCCCCTCTCATCCAGGTAGGACAGCAGAACTTCATTTTAATCTGCCTTGCGGTATTGCGTATCAGCCCCGTGAGGGACAGCCAGCATAGGGCATGAGGAGGCAGAACCTGTTTCCTCGCAGACAGTGCGGTCAGGCTGTTACTAGCTGATGCTTGTGGCCAAGAGACAAAGTAACTCGATAGATTTCAGGAAAACCTCAAAGTGGAGGGAAGATCTCTTGCCTCCTGTCCCCTTCCAGGTGGCAGCCTTGCTGAAGGTGGCCGGTAACAGGTAGTAGAAGTAGCTGGGTCTGTCAGGTGAACTGCAGCAGCTGTGGGTGGTCAGCGGGGTTGGAAGTTATTGGTGTTTGGGCAAGAACATCAGCAGGATTGCCCAGATTTACTGTCTCGCACCGAACCAGGCAGTCCTGCTGTGCCTGCTGGACTTGCTGCCGATCCTGGAGAGAGCCCAGCGGCAGCAGAAGCAGGCCAGACCAACCGCCCCCTGCGATGAGGTGCTGCAGCTGGTTCTGACCCACATGGAGGCAGAGCATCGCCTTGCGCTGCGGCGGGTGTACGCCAGGACCCTGCCTGCCTTTGTGCAGAGGTGAGAGCAGCCGCCGCCCCCCTGCAGCCACTTGCTTTGGCCTTGGTCTATATCTCCCTTCTCAGTGTGTGTTTCTTTATCTCGGCAGGCTTGGCATCCTGATAGTTCGGCACCTGAAGAGGCTGGAGCGAGTTATCCTGGGGTATCTGGAAATCTGTGATGGCCCTGAGGAAGAAGCCCGACTGGGAATACTGGAGACACTGCAGTGCACCATAGAGCATGCTTGGCCCAGGTACCGGTCTGTGGGTGAAAGACACTGTGGAAAGCATATCCTGAATGCTGTCCCTCTTTCAGAGCCAAAGTTACTGTTCCTTGAGGAAAGGGCCCTGAAATCTTAAGGGAGAAGTCCGTCACAGAGAGGAATCACTGGCATTACTGCTTTGCTGAAAAACCTGGCCCCAAAATTAAGCTGGGTCCTCATTTTGATCTGACTTCTGCCTGTTCTAGAAGCGTCAGCTTGGCTAGAAACGAAATCTGTGTTCTCTGCAAGGCAGAACTGTGGAGTAAGGCCTGCGCTGTGAATGAGGCTGCCCCATGAGAGGCGTTCCTGGTACACCATCCTCGGGTTACCTCTGTGTTCAGGGCCTGTCCTCCCTCTGGTGGGCATACTGAACGAGGCAGCTTCTTCAGCCTCATCGCTGAAGCAGTTGCTCATCTTAGGCCAGCTACAATCCTGCTCCACATGTAAACGGCAACTAGCAGCTCCTGCCTGAAGTGTCTAGGAACTGCTGAACAAGGCTGTGCTTTCCTCTGGCTTGCGAAGAGGATTTAGAATAAGGCACAGTTGCCGTTTCCTTTGCAGAATGCCGTGCAGAGTCCCTGTGCTCCTCAAAGCCCTGCTGAAGATGATCTGGGACGTACACACTGACCAAGGGTCAACCGCAGAGCTGGTAAAAGCCGCCTTGCTCCAGGGGGCCACGGACTGCCTCATCCTGCTGGATCGGTGCTCTGAAGGGCAAGTGAAGGTGAGCTGGGGACCCAGCACTGCTTCACCTCTGATCCCTTCCCTCTTAGACGGGGCAGCATGGTGCGTGCAAGAGCCCGCTGGCTTCCTCAGTCCAACGGTATTTTGAAAGCATCCACCTCAACGTTAGTACTTGACTTGGTACCTGTTGATACGTGTCAAGTCACTTATCTATATATGCTTTGCATCATTCTCTTCCAACAGATAGCCGGGGGAGGGCTGATAACACCATAAACCTGAGCGTGCCGAGGCACTGGAAAATGATGCTTTTCTTGTTTCAGATCCTGCTGGAGGGCGTGTACAGCAGCTGTGAGGAGAACCGCGTACGGGAATGCATCAGAAAAGTGCAAGAGAACACGTGAGGCGTGGCTGATCAATGCTCACCCAGTGTTTTGTACAGTAAACTTTTTTTATTTATTAAAAGTTACCGTCTTTCTCATCCCACCCCTGTTAACCCCATACCTCCCCCGAACAAGATAAACTTGTGTGCTCGCCTAGCCCCACGCGGGCTTCTCCAGCTTTAGACCAAAGCAGCAGTGCCCCCCAGTCCAGGTTCCTTCCCGGAGCACAGTCCGAGCTGAGCCTTGTGTGGTTGTAGAGAGGGTGGGGTGTCTTCTTCCTTAAACCTGTGCTTCAAGCAGGAGTTGTACAAACTTGC